CCCCCCCCCCCCCCGTTCTTTTCTGAATTTAGGTAAAGTGTACCCTGCACTAGAGGTCTCTAGTTTATGACACCATATATACCGAACAAGTAATCGGATCTACTTCTTGGGTAAATGAGACACTTCAAACGCTGCATTTTCAACATTTCATTTGATTACCCAGTTACAGTGACTGTGATTTCTGGCTTTTTTCCTCTTTTTTTATGATCATTCCCAATGATAAAGCTTAGCAAAAAATCTGTCTGAGTAAACATCCAATGCCCGACAACAGAAGAGGCAAAAAAGCGTCGATAGATAACTAAAGGTACCAGATGAGACTGAATTAAAACTACTCAAAGCTAAGCAAAAGGATCACGAAAGAAGCCTTTGAAGAGTAGAAAGAGCGATCAAACGAGTACGAAGACCAGTTAAACATGGTGCAAACTTTTACGGACAGTCCTCACATCTGAGGGAGCTGTACTTTTCCAGTACACTACTGCTCTGGCGCAAATCTTTCAAAAGAAAGGACATCAGTTCAATTTTAGCACCATTAGAGCGACGCTGCAATTTCCTACCTAAAGATGGAAATGACCAATATGTGGAAAGCAAAGGGCTTACGGCAAAATATGTGACTGAAAAAGTGAGAGAAGCTGCTTTCGTCTGACTTGAAGAATATTCTCTTAGAAGGTTTGCTTCGCAGAAACCGAAAAAGATATGTGCTAAACAAAAAAATGGAAATAAATTAAATTAGAAAGTAGAAAGTTACCAAGACGGTCTTTCAAGACTTCGGAACCTCGAATGCTGGTAATATCGACTGTTAAGCATTGTTGTCAACAAAGAAGTGTCAACATTTTCATTAATATTGCTGAGCACAGACCTAGAGGAAAAAGTAATTCATAGGAAAAAATTTCTAAATAAAAGCAAAAAAATCGTTAGCATAAGAGCAACAAGAAAAGATGGTAAACGGCCTGCAGCGCAGCAAAAAATGATCCGTAAAACCAATTATATGTTCCACTTGTTCTTATTGAAACCCCTCCTAGCTGTCGTAATGCAAACTGATAAAAGTGAACATGCCTTATGCGGTATCGGTTATACGTTATTTCATCACGTTTAGCCATATAGACTAAAACTGATAACAATGCAGCAATCTCGATGCCCAAGAATGAAGCCTGAAAATCATTTCTTTCACATTCAGGGAAGTCAGCTTTTTTACAGAATATTTCTTCTGACTTCTAAAAAATTATCAGCAGTTTCTACCAAAAGTGTAAAAAATGAAACGGGTTTTCTGTGGTTTGGCATCATATTAGATTACAGTCTGCTTTTAATGACGAATGGTAGGTCTCGCTTGAACAATGAGAAAAGATGTTTTTTAAACAAACAAAAACCTTAAGTAACAGGAACGAATAACCATAAGAATAATGAAATAGTGGCTCATCAATTTCACTTGCCGGGTACTGCTTATTCCCGACTTCTTTTGATACGGAAGACATATAAACAATTATGCATAAAAAAGTCGATATACCTTAAAATTGATTGATCACTCCTTCGCTTAATTTTTTGTTCAGAACTAACTGCGACTTTGAATTTTTCAAACAAAGCGTTCTAGTTCACAGTTTTGATCATTCCAAGAAAGCAAAACATATGAAAAAACTTTCAGTTACAGTATCACAAGTTACTGACCGAATCTTAGACGACAAAAGACCGCCAAGTTTTCCAAAAAAAAAAGCAAGTTCGAAAGGTGGTGGGGACAAAATCAAGTCAAATTCAGTAAGATTATTTTAAATTTGATAATATCATGAGTAAAAAATTATCCGATACATCTCTACAATGCGTAAAATATGTTAAATTAAATATGTTAAACTGTACCTGCAAAAATATGCAGAAGGGCTGAACACAAAAGAGACCGGTAAGGATGCTCTCGATAACAACATACAATAATACTGGCTACTCCGCATAAGTCAAGGCACGTCCCAAAAACCATAAATATAAAGGCTTTTTTGACAGACTCTAAAAAAAATTTCCGCTTACCAATTTCAAGGGTCTTTTTTGAGTTTTTTTGACAACTGAAAGCCTTTAGTCGTACAGCAAAGTTCATTCCTTAACGCTTTTGTTACAAAACAAACAGTTTTCCTTTGCCGATAGATCTAAATAAACTCATCAAGCAAGTTTGAAAAAAAAAACACCAACGTTCTACAGAAGCTGTAACATCTCCTGGTTCGTCTGATGAGAAATATGTAACCTTTTCACAATGGAAAGGTGTCTCTGCTGAAAATTACTGCACTGAGACACAAGTCCACTCTGAATGACAAAAAAAACTCTTTTCATTAAAATAAGCTCGCTCAAAATGAACCTTTCTCAAGAATATACATAATTTGCAGTTAAATGAAAAATTGAAATCGTTTCAACTGTCGTTACTTAAAAATTCTACTAGATCAGAGCTAACTGTAAAACAGAAAGTTTTATCGGAGTTTCTTCGAGAAATGAAATAAACTAACGATCCAGCCAACAAAAAAGTCGAGGACCAAATGTGGCATTTTTAAAGTACTTTTCTTCACGCCACGGATCTTCAGTTATGTTTGGACTTGCCGCTGTTGTGCTGACGAGTCCGCTAGGCACATAGTACTTCATTACCTCCGCAGTGAAAAGCCATTCATTTGTTGTGGCGCCTGAAGAAACTCAAGTGTACGTATGTTCCACGCAATTCTAAGGTTGGCTTTTTTTAGTAAAAATTCTATCGTATCAAACTTTAGTTACATAAGATTTATTTAATTTGACGCTAATAACCAAAC